TTGACTTGAATGACCTTCTGATATTGGAGCAAAATTAGCCCCATAGTTGGGAACCACATTCCCATAGACGGCGCCAAACTGTTGCATCCAAGAGTATTCACGGCGGTAGAGAGATATAAAGTTTAATGTCTTAGCATTGTACAAAAATTCGACACGCAATCAGATAAGAGAGTGTGTAGCATTCATAGGAGACACTAATATTTTTACGTGAAAAACTCCTAAAAAGAGGGAAAAACCACGAGGCCTAGCCCAGTTTAAATGAATCCACTAGTATTACAGTTGATTACAAATATGGCCCTTCCTTGGGACAAGGCCTTAGCTTGATGTACAATTTATAAAGTACATTACATGATGTGAATATAAAGAATCACTATTGACGTATTCGTTTGGTCGGGAGGACTATAGTCTGGTGATAGAGGTCAGAAAGACTGTAGTCTGTGGACGACGTAAGTCAGGAGGACCATAGTAGGCTAGCGACGGAGGTCAGAAGGATTGTAGTCGGTGGGCGATGTAAGTCAGAAGGACCGTAGTTGGCTGGCGACGGAGGTTGAAAAGATTGTAGTCAGCGGGCGACATAAGTTAGGAGGATCGTAGTCGACGAGCGAAAGAGGTCGAAAAGACTGTAGTCGGTGGGAGACATAAGTCAGAAGGACCGTAGTCGGCGTGCGATGGAGGTTGGAAAGACTATAGTCGACGGACGATGTAAGTCAGGAGAACCATAGTCGGCAGGAGACAGAGGTCAAAAAGACTGTAGTCGGCGGGCGACGTAAGTTAGAAGGACCGTAGTCAGCTGGAGACGGAGGTCGGAAGGACTGTTGTCTGACGACGAAGGTCAGAAGGACGGCGTCGGGTAGAAGTCCAACAATGGAAAGAAATCCATCTTCGGATAGATGTCTAGCGAAATTCTAATAACTGGTAGAAGTCCGACATAGGATAGAAACTTAGCAATGAGTGAAGGTCTGGCATCGAGTAGAAGTCTGACGTCTATTGGAGGCCGAGGAGAACTACGGTATCACTTGGGCTGAGTTTCGGCATCAGGGGGGAACTCTATCATTACTTGGGCATAATTTCAGCGTCTCGTGGAAGTCAGATAGAATTCAGGCGTCCCGTGGAAGTTGGAAAGAATTCCGGTGTCCCGTGGAAGTCAGGCAGAATTCCGGCTTCATTTGGAGTTCGGGCGGAACTCCGACGGTGGTCGAGGAGTCTCTTCCCTCCTATTCTTCTCTTCTCCTCTTCTTCTTGCTTGGATCTTCCATCCCCTCTCAAGAGAAATGAATGATCTATTTATAGATATTTTTGAGTGGCAAGGCCTGTAAATAGGAGGAGGATCAAGGGCAAATGTGGAGTGGTTCGTTGGACGGCCGATATTGAATCCCTTGATCATGAATCGTTAGTTAGACATTTAAAGGTCTTAATGATATCGGAATTTGGCAATCTTGGTCGTTGGATTCGTCTCGTCGAGCCGTTCTATTCGACTATAAGCTCGTCATGTTTGGATACCGTTTGGTAACTCAAACTATGATTCGAACCTTCTGAATGTGCTTCGGGTATTCGATTTGGACCCATTTGTGCTCGGATTGAGTCAAATTTGGTTTCGTTGGGTACAAATTTCCAAGACGCTCAGTTTAACTATACGTTTGCTGAAATCGGAATTCTAGTGAGCCCGAATTTAATTTTTGAAGCTTCCGGCTTGATTTTGCCTCGAGATTCGTGCCCGATCAAGATAATTTTTGCATGATATATCAATGCTCATGATATATAACCTCTCACACCTACCTTCAGTAATTGGGGTCAGAACCCCTCCCGCATTCATACTAGATAAATGGGATAAAACTGAATATATAGGGCCCTTTTAATATAATAGAGAGTGCACTTTTTCATATATCAGAACATATCCAATGTTATGTTATGCAAAATGCAAATGAAATGGAACAGTATTTAAATAAAAAATCTAATGAAACATTCAAATGATGTAGGAATTGCCAGTAAAAGCCACAATACTTAGAAAACATAGTACTCATTGAACTTTACCCTTTCAATTTCTAACTTCACAGAAATATTTACATGAATATTTTGAGACTTACATATAACTATTGCATTTACCAAAGCCTCAGTTCAATAATATACTCAAAATTTAATGTAGAAAAAATCTACTGTTAAAATCATAATTTCATATAGCCAAAATATTTATATAAAGGAGTACAATAAGATATTAAATATTCTAAGGCTTATAATTGTTAATCAAATTTAAATTAATAACAATTAACAAATAAATACATGGATTTTTGACAATGGATAATACATGTTTAATCATGTTTTGCATATGGATTAATCACGATTTCATTATGGCTTAACCATGGTTCGATCATTGTTTGACTATCCTTTGATGATGATTTGTTTTATTTTTCTTTATTAAATACTTCATTAAATTTACTCATTTAAGTTATTTAGACATGTATGTGGATTTATGCTCTAATTATATTAATTGAGGAATAATTGTGCTCAAATCGCATATAAAATTGGGGGTGGTGGAGAAATCAATTAAATAGTTTGAGCCTAATTGACCTCATTGTTGATCCTGAAAGATCTCTTTTGGAAAGTCTTCATAACTATTGGACTACAATTCGCTGGGGCCATAATTCATCAATTGTCATTGAGAATAGTTAATTATGATTAGAATGAGAGATACTTTAATATGTTTAACATTGGAGCTAAGAATACCATATTTTGAGTTATTGAGATTGTTTTCATCACCATGTTATAATTTGGAGAATTCAATTTGAGGAGTTCTAAAAGATCAAAAGTAGTAGGCTCTATAATAACCACTAGAATGGGGACAAGAACTTAAGAAGTATAGATCTTGAGCAAATTTTCATGTAGCACACTGATGTGTGAAACCTTGAGCCATATTAGATTGTAGATGATGTCCTTTTCAACCATGATAAACATGGTATTATTTTAACTAAGATGCTCGATTTGGTTTGAGATGATGCAATTTGTGTGGATATCCATTACTTGGTTAGATAGTAAGATCAGAAATCTTTTAATTTAATGAGCATATGATTCTAGAATTTGAATAACTTTTATATTAAAGTCAATTTCTATTTTTGTAGTATGCTAATTTTTTCTATTTTTCAAATAAGGGAGCAAATATGTCACTACATAGAGAATTATTAATATGTCATCATCATGTTGAATGAACTTTTTTATCATTATTACAAATTAGCCATCTTCACTTACAAAAATATCCACTTCAGGAACTTCTATGCCATCAGGGAAGATAATTTCTTGAGGTCATGGGATAATGTAGAACACTTATACTTTTTTAATAAATTAAAATAAAGTTTATTTGATGATATGTGAGACCTTATTTCTTACGAAAGCGATAATATTGTATAAATGGACCTCTCATGCATTCCTAAGTTGATTTACATGTCAAGTTTATTTAACACAAGTAGGAACTCTTCTGATCAAAATATGCTTAGACGTGGAGGAGGCAACAATAGATGAGATCACAAGGACTGCATTAAGGCAAACCATTTGATATTTTAATAAAATTTTATCTAAATTATTATTGCGACATAGCACTTAATTTACACCACTATAAAGCAAATCTTCTTAAAATTACATATAGTCGTATACAATTCGATCAAAACTATATATGTGGACTTATTTCATACTAATATAGATCCATAGGTCTATTAAAATATGATTGAATCATTTCATGAATTATTTTGATTTTATTATATAGTCCTCTATTGTAAACATGAGTATTTCAACTTATTTATATTCGAATATATTGTGTTATAGCTATTTTGATTGCTCTCTGATGTGATGTATCTATTGGATTGCTCATTAGTGTGATAGAGTAATTGCATTGAACCTTAGTGTTTCAATTTGTTTGAATTATATTAAAATAATGTTTGAACTTTATTCAAACTATGCTTGACCCATGAGTGAATCTAATTTAAATTTTGTTCGAATATGATTCTAACGTATGTTTGAATCATATTTAAACAAGATTTGTACCTCACTCACATATGATTTGAACCTTGTTTGAATTGTGTTTGAATAAATAAATAGCTAGTCAAGGATTTTTATCTAAAACAAACTTTGGAGAATATTTCCCCAAGAAAATGAATATCATGCATATTTTTATTATTTACGCTATTATGGGACATATAAAATCAAAATTCTATTTACCAACCTGATTTCAAATATTAAATCCAAAAAAATGTTGATGAGCATGGGTGTCGAAAATTCACCCGAACTAGAAAATTTTGAATTCAAGTTGGCCTATTTAATAAACAAGTTGGTTCGGTCGGTTTTTCAACCCATTTATTAAATGGGTAGAGTATAGGTTAACCTATGAATCCATTTTTTTACTTGAAATGATCTATTAAATATATCTTTTCCCAATTTTTTATACATGTGTTTAATCTTTTTTTTTTTAACCAAATATCATAATTTGTATATTTAATAAGTTATAAAAAAATAATCATAATTAGTTAACGAGTCAAATTCAAATTATTCTAGTTGCTAGCAGCTTGGGTTTGGGTTTATGTTTTTTATTTGTGAATTAAACGGATCAAGTTAAGAAAGATTGAAAGCTGCACAAGATCGACAGCAGAAATATTACAATCAGAAGCACAGGTTCGTTGAATTTCAAGTTGGTGACTTTGTGTATGTCAAAGTCAGTCCGATGAAGGGTGTGAGCAGATTTAATATTTTTTTATTATTTACTAATAAAAATAAATACTTAATATTTATTTTATATGAATAAAAGTAATTCAAAGCACAGTCGAAATAGAAAAATTTAGACCAAAACATACTAACACAAAATTACAATATTTTAAAATTCATAATAATTGAATTTTGATGAGAATATCCTTATCAAAAAAATTTGTATAGATATATGTTCAGAGTAAACAATGTAGATAAAGTGAATGCCAAAAGTTAAAAAAAAAAAAAAAAAAAAAAAAAAAGTGAATGCCAAAAGTAAAAAAAAAAAAAGCTTCATTCTTTCTTTGATCCAAGCCACTATTGTGCAATTTCTGGTAATTTCAATTCAATAACACTATGACTCAGTTTTCCCACATTACATGTAAAACAAGTGAGAACTGTATCAACTGAAGGGTCTGCCATGTAAAGTGAATATTCATGGAACTTTTCAAATTGAATGAATTGGATCGGATCGAATCGAAGTCTCCAACCAATACTAATCCTCCTGTACTCAATATCTAATCTGTTAAAATTTTGTTTGAAAATGTTACTCTAAAGGTTTCCAAAACTATATATAGCTATCAAACCTGACTGTCCAGATTTTGAGAAGAGTTTTCATCTTCAAAAAGTTCTTTAGAAGATGGAGAGGGTAGCTCATTCTCAGAAATAGCTGTGAGAGGGCCTTGAGGAATGCCAAAGAGAGTGGAGAAGATCTGTTTATGACAATCATCACAGAAACAGTAATAGGAAAAGTGGCCTTCTGCAGGCAGGCGATGGACTGTGGCTCCTGGAATCAGGCGTCTTGAGAATTCAGTCATGGATGGTGGCACTACCCGGTCATCCATTCCCTGTACAGTTAAAAACTAATCATATAGCCGTTGCATAGATCTGTAAATATCAAGTTGTATTTATGAATGAAGCAAAAACAGCTCATGCATATCTGCAGTATACAATGAGTTCTGAGAATACCAAGAGTCAATCCTGAATTTAAAACATTGATCATTAAATAGTAGTCATAATTCTTTATTTACAGTTATATTACATTTAAAAATGTTGTTAGAGTTTATATATACTCAATGGATCATTTTGAACTTATGAGCAAAACTATTTGATCTTAAAAACACCTCTAAATATTGTGTTCTATTTCATTATCCAATTTATGTAAATCATTCTATTTTTCCTAATTTTCATTGAAATGATATCAAAACAAGGTCATAACAAATAACAATCTTATACAATCATCATTTCCTAGTCTCACCAACACCAATAATGAGAATTGGAGTAACCAAATAAAAGGTTTGCTTGGATCCCAAGACATTTCGGAAGTTGTTGATGATGGCTATACAGAAGAACAAAAGGAGCCGTCCTCTTCACTCAACAAAGAGATGCTCTCCAATAGATTTGGTTCAAGAATTAAAAATCTTATATTTTATCTATCAATCGGGCAAGGTTATTGTGGCTACCACCACCATGCAAGCACGAGAGATTCTCCAAAATGCTTAGAAAGAAGCAAAGAAGGTGAAGAGTTCGCCTCCAAACTCTTCAAGATGAGTTTGAAGCCCTATTGTGTCTACCACCTTTATGCAAGAATGAGAGATTCTCCAAAAAAACATGAAAGTAGCCAAGAATGCATAGAGAACTCACCTCCAAACTCTTCAGGGTGAATCTAAAGCCCTGAGCATGTAGGAGTTCAAAACTACGTCTGGCTATTTCACAAGCAAGCAAAGATTTGTTTGGGATGACTGCAGCTACCGATAAAGCTAGTTATAAAACTAACATAAAAAAAGTTGATATTTTAAATTTGCATTGATGAAACAATATATGTTGTTTGGAAAATCCAACTGTCAGGCTATTGTATGAGGTCAAATTATCTTTAATATTACCAATGTATGTAACAAAAAAATTAATTATTGATTGTCAAACATAATCACATGCAACTTCTTAAAAAGAACATAATAATCATTTGATCAATTAAAGTCGACAATTACTAAAACTAAATCACCATAAAGGCCATAAACACTTTGCAAATCATGCACATAAAACCTACAAGACTCCTACTATGATTAAATTTTCAGTCTCAATAGGATCAAATTTCATCAATTGAGCACAACAAACAAAACTCCAAATAGACAGAACGATTTACCCCAAACAAGGGAAGCCAAACTTTTTACATTAATAACTCAAATCTTTCACAGAAAAAGAGCTTTAAGAACAACGGGTAATATAGATATAATAAATTTCAAACACCATAAAAAATAAGTTAAAATACACGTAAGAATACCTTGATGACCACTAAAAGAATTTCAACCAGTCTACTTCTCAAACTCTACCTCTCTTGATTTTTTTTATACCAATTGAATTTTCTTTTGCACTTGGCCCAAAACCAAAACAATTACGATAGGTTGAGGACTATTGGGATTGCGAAGGTGACAGTTCGTTGGGGTTGTGAAGGGCATGGCGGCAAAGATGTCGGGGAACCAAGCTCTAGGGAGGAGGCAGAGAGTTCTATAGTGGAAATGATGGTTGGGTAGTGTATGACAATTAGAAACATAATTGTTGAAGAGTAGAAAAAGGAAGAAGAGGACTAGATATACCTTTCCTAATCAACAATTTGCACTAATTAAGCGAGCTTGATATGTGCATCTCACGAGCAACTAAGAGATGATGCAACGCAATGTGAATAAGAGAATCATACTCTCGCAAGAGGAGAGTTTTGGGGCATGAAAGATGTAACGCCAAATTAAACTGAATAGTTTTGTATGAAAATGGCTCAAAATCACAAAAGACAGCCAATGTGGATGGCGAACAAGGATGTAAAACTTCATTTTAGAAAGCATAACTTTTCAGTACTTCATTAAGAATTAGTGTTCCGAAATTATATTTCATAAAGCAAAGCAACAAAAAAGCTGCTCCAATTAAAACCTTGCCATTATTAATCAAACAAGGTGGAATGATGAGACTTTGAAAGACATCCTAGTAGACAAAAATATACACATAATGAATGCAAAGTTTGGTTACATTATGGTGACTATTGAAGAGTTAAAGAATTTGGAAGCTCATGTCAATTGATGAGCTTATAGATTCATTACAAATCCATGACCAAAAGAAGAACAAAGAGGCAATGGCCTTTGGATAAAATTGTTCACAAACATTCTAATAATGAATGGGGGCAAAAGCCAAAAAGATTGTGGTGATATTTGTAGCCGAGGCAAAGGTACGGGTCCCGGGCGTAGCTTAGGATGATAAGGTTACACTAATGATGAAAGAAACCCAGATCTTAGAGGAGGATGTGGACAAGGGAAAATTCAAAGTATGAAAAATAAGAAATAGTGTTATAATTACAAGAAATATGATCATTATGCTTTAAACAGTTAGCATAAATATTCCAATCAAGTGGTTGAGAATACAAATTTTACAAAGAAATAGGAGATTATATTCTCCTATTAGCATGCAAAGGAGAAAAATCAACGAGCAATCTCTATGGCATTTGACCACCAAAACAAGCAATCACATGTGTGACTAAAAAGAAATGTTTGTGAAGTTAGATGAATTCATGGATGGACAAGTTTCTTGTTGGTGAGTCTTCCAAGGCATATCTGAAGACTAAAATGTAAAATTCTAACCAATTGAAAGATGGAAGTAACCGATTTATTTCAAATATTGGCTATGTGCCAAGCATGAATTTTTTGAGTTTGGGCCAACTTTTGAAGGGAATTTATAAAGTTCATATGAAGGCCAAAAGCCTATTCTTAAGAGAAAAAAAAATGTACTTGCTCCTGTCCAAATTTCAAGCAATCAATTTTTCTTATTAAATATCAAGCATATAAATGTCAAATGCTTAAAAGCTTGTTTAAGAGATTCTTCTTAGAGATGACATTTAAGATTAGGGCATTCACATTGTTGATGCACTTTTTTATTGCATCGACCTGACTCCGATTGAGCCCGACTAGGCTTGATCGTGCTCAATCGATTCGATCGAAGGTCGTCGAAGAGAAATTGACCCAAATCAAACCCGATTTAATTAAATTAAATCAATTTAATTTAATTTAAAGCAAATCAATCCAAATCAAATCCAATCGAGCCAAATTCGACGCAATTCGGCGCCGATTAAAGTTTATTTCATGAAATTAAATTGATCAGACGCAATTCAGCGCCGACGCAATTCGGCGCCGATTCAAGCTTGATTGGGCGGTGCCTTGTGCACCTCTAAGAGACGAAAGGGAGAGTGGGGGAGCATTCGGCTCCCCCGTTTTTGTTCCGTCCCGAACCAGAAACAGATAGAGCGAGAGAAAGGAGCAGGAGAGGGGATTCCGCACCCCTTTTTGCGTGCGTCTCCAGGCGCGGAAGGAGGCAGAGGCGGGGAGCTCTTCGTGTGGTCTCATCCAAGCCGCCGGTTCCTCAAGTGCAGACCCTCTAGGCCATCCATCTCCAGGCGATCGAGAGAGACAAAGAGGGAAGGAGAGGTGTTCGGGTAGGCCTCTACAGGCCGGCTGAACTTGTAGATCTTCTTTACTGTTGTTTTCCTCCTCTTTGGACTTGTTTTCCTCTTCTTTGGACTGAAAAGGAGTTCTTCTTCGCTGCCATGGTTTTCTCCCTTCAATTAGAGAGCAGAAATCCCCTCTTGCTGCTGTTAGTAAGCTTCTATTCCAAAGTCTAGGGCAAAGGTGTGCTGAAATCAGCCTTTGTGGCAGCTAAGAGAAGGTAGGAAGCCTATACTTCCTTCCAAACCATTTCCGACAACCTCCAAACATTGCAAACTGCTGTTTGGAGCGTTTGGACAGCAAGTGACGGCCTCCGGGAGCACTCAAATAGCAAAAATTGTTGTCTGGAGCACTCAAAAAGCAAATTCATCCTTTGAAACGCCTTGGACAGCAGGTTGGAGGATGTTGGAAGCTTCCAAACAGTGCTTGAGAGACTTTGGAATGCCTTAGGCAGCAAAGAAGGCTTCCGGAGCGGCATGGACAGCGACAACGACAGCGACATCTGGAAAGGCTTGGACAGCAGTCTTCTTCCTTGGGAAAGTCTTGGACAGCAGTTAGAACTTGGATTGGAGCTTGGACAATAGCATGGACATCAATTTGGAGCGCTAGAACAACCAGGGTGAGGTAAAACAGTAAAACTTAGTGAAACCTAAGGTCCCCCAAGGCCAATTGATACATGGTTGATATCCCCAAGCCATAGGTCCCTTAGAAACTTAAATTTATACTTCCCCGAAATCACATGCTCGCTGTCCTCTTTGTGAACTTGGGGAAATCTGGTGATTTTTGCCAAGTTGCTCTCATGTGAGAGTCAAAAGGACACGCCGATACGCGTAGGGTCGTTGGATTGGTATCCAACGCCCTCCAAATGCATGAAATAGCATCATGTTGTTCTCCAACGCCTTCACCTACAACTAAACCATAGGATAGGTGATTACATTTGATTCAAAATTGAATGTCGAGGCGTAGAATTCTTCTCTAAATGTGGCATAGTTGTTTGTCCTCTAGATTCACACGTTATGACAAAATTAATGCATGCATGTAGAAGGTTTGTATTGCTATTCTACTTATGATTTTCTTCAAATTTATTGGTGTTCAAATGTGTGTTTCAATTATTTCATGAAGTGGTGGGATATTTCATGAACATTTATGATTTATGTTTTAAATCCCATAATGAAATGATTAATTGAAATCATCTTTGAAATCTCTCCGAATTTGGAGAGCCAAATCATGTAAATTTTCAAATTAAATGTACTCATTTCTAGGTTTTCCTTAGATCATAGCAAAGTGATCCTTAGGACCTATCCACGAGCATTCAAGTGGTGGTTCACTTGCATGCCTCTAGGTTTCGTTAGATAACACCAAAGGTT